GCCGCGCGGCCCCCCCTCTCCCGCCCAGCCCCCGGGGGGGGGGGGTTCCAGGACTCAAAAGCCCCCAAAAACCCCGGGGTGAGGGGGGATGGTGTGTATGGGGGGGTGTCCCGGGCGCTGCGCCCCCAGGGCACCGTGCGGGGGGCGGGCTGTTGAAATGCCCCTCGGGCGGGTGGGGGGGCAGAAAGTTAGGTTATTTTTATGAGCAGAACAATAAAAGCATCCCCGTCAAATTGCAAAGTTGCGCATCAGCGAAGTAGAGAGGCAGAACTGGGGGTTCTGCTCTTTCCCACCGTGTCAGAGTCCCCCCCACCGGGACAGGGATGGGGACAGGGACAAGCCAGGCTCATCTGAGGCCGGGAAGGGTCAGCTCGTCCCACCGAAGCCACGGTGCAGGCGTGGGCTCTGGGTAAGGGTCCGTGGGGGCAAAAAGCACTTGGGAGGATGCTGGACGTGCTGCAGCGAGCTGCGATGCTCCCTCTGCCCCTGCGGTACGGCGCTCTGGATCCTCAACTCGCAGAAACGCTCATGCGTGTATTTAGCAGTAAACTCCAGAGATATGCCAGCTATTACCCCTAAGCGAAGGAGATATATTGACTTAACCGCAGCTATTCGTGTGTGTAAGGCCAAACGCGGATGTCATTGTTCACAGGATCTGGGCCGGGGTGAACTAGCACCAGGCTGATGAAGAAAAATCAATCTTTTCCTCCCAAAGCGGGAGGGACGGGGTAGCGGGGAGGTGCGGGGTGAGGGAAACCTGCCTGGCGAATGGGGCACCCGGCTCTCCCAGGCTAACCGCCCCGGCGAGGCGCCTGCCCCACCTCACCTTTGGGAGCACCCTCCTAAATACCAAGTGAAGCGAGGTCGGGGAGAGGCTCCGCGCCGCTGCCGGGAGCCGAAAGGAGCTGCCTTCCCAGCCCAGCAGCCATGCAGCCGGGCGCCAGCCCTCCTTGCGTGCTGCAGCGTAAGTAGATGCTCCGTGTGTGTGTGCGAGCGTTGCCTGGATGCACACCGGGGATGTGTGCACGGCCGGTGCACGCCGGGCTGTGGGACAGGGGAGGTGTGTGCCAGGCTGGGGTGCCGGTGAGGATGGGGGTCCTGTGGTCCTGAGCCGTGGGGAAGGACCACCAGGGTTGTAGCAGGGGCAGCATCTGCAGGTCCGTCCTGAGTGAGGTGTTTCCCTGCGTGTCGGCGTGTGTCCGGCCTGTGTCTTGGCGTGCCCTTGGACTGCGGCTCTCTCCCACGGTGTGTAAATCCTGTGGGCAGAGCAGGGCTGAGCGGCCAAAGGAGTGGGTTCCCATTGCAGACTGAGCTGGGGCTGCCCAAGCCCCCGCTGCATCCCAAAGGGATGCTGTGGGGAGGGGGGGGCTGCTGCACGTCCTCGGTGCGCCCCGATGGTTCAGCCGTGGGAGCACGGGGATGGGGGAGAGCCCCGCGAGAGCAGGGAACAGCCCTGCGGAGCATGGGGCAGGGATACAGCTGCCATCATAGCAGCAGGATCCGGCCCCTGGTGCTCGCCCGGGGCTGCGGGGCAGAGGGGAAGGAGGGTGGCACTGCTGCTTGCCAGCCCACCCCAGCTCCGCCGGGCAGGCAGGACTCTTCCCCTGGGTGTGCTGGTGCAGCGGGATGCGCCGAGGCTGGGGAGGTGTCGTGCTTGACATCCCTCAAGCTCTCTTGAGCCTAACTGAGGTCCCGTGCGGGATCGCTACCGGCACGCCGATGTGCCGCTGGGTGCACGTACACCCGTGCCGTCGTGCAGGTAGCCACGCCGCGCCGGGCGCTGGCCGCGGAGGAAGCTGAGATTTGCATAGGAACCGAACGCCGGAGCTGCTGTGTCGAGGAGAACCTCACCGCCAGCATCCCCCGGGGACGCCGAGCACCCAGCAAACCTGGCCCCGGGGGCGGGTGCTGGGTGCTGGAGCGGTGAGGGTTGAGTAATTCGGAAAGTCTGACCGTGGGTGTGCCCCCGGGGCCGGGGGAGCGGAGGAGGCACCGGGGGTGTCTTGGCCCCGTTGTCGGAGCTGG